AATCACTCTAATAACTCAGTCCTGAGAGCCACATTTCTCTTGCTTGACAGGGATCACGATCACTGACAAATACAAAGGAACTGTGTGTGCCAATTTTTTTAAAAAGTACTTTCCTTCCATAATCCTGGTGAGATACTCACCCAAAGACAAATTTAGAAACAGGATTCTGCAGATCAGAGGTTGACTACAGGGGAGCCATATATGGCAGCCTAGTAGAGGCAATGTAGCAAGTCAGAATAGCCTGATGCTTGTATATTTCAACAATGGCTTTTGAGATTGAAGGTGAGTGGACAGGGAGCTAGCAGAGGATTGAAGAAGGAAAGCTGGCAGATGGAAAAGTGGAAGGTGGATGGCTAACGTTTTTAGGTTCATCTCTGTCTGGTGCTGTTACTGTGAATCCCTCAGTCTCCTGGCCTGCTCATGCAGACTATGACCCTCCATGAAGCAATCCAGTTAACTTTGGACTTTTGCCAAGAATCAGAAACCCCTTCTAAACACCTCAGAACTGCTAAGACTAGTTCTATTGGCATCAGGCTGGCAGCTGCTAACCTTAGTACACCTTTGTATCTGTTGGTTATTGCCTGTGGGGTAAACCATTGAGGCAATCTTTTTTTTTTTTTTTTCTTGTGCTCTTTCTTTTTTTTTTTTTTTTTTTGCTTCTAGTTGCCGGACCAACCCCCCTAATACTTAACTGGTTTTCAAATCTTATCACTATGCCCTGAGGCTATAAAACAAAACTACATCTTCAACCCATACTCAGATTTATTCCTATCTCCATGTCTTTATGGAAATTTGTCTCCCCCTGAAGCCTGTTTCTATGTAGACTCTTCCATTCTTCCAAGTTTGAGAGACAGGGTCTGCAACATTTGTCTTCTATTTTACTAAATTTTACTAAAAATTCTTACAAATCTTAGGCTCATAGCAACTCCTTTCCTTGCCTCAGCTTCATTCATTGAAGACATTAGCTCACAGTTCTCCCCACTCTCTCCACTCTGCTAGTTCAGCATTCATGGGAACAGCCATGGCTTGAGGAGCTTAGCTCCTTGACCTTCCATGGTAAAGTCCTTCACTTCAGTTCCCACTTCTGTGGCCACATTATGGACGTACTCAGCATGTGGAATTGCTCCACTTGTGAAATCACAGAAACAATACCCTCACTCTTTCACCTATGAGACCCTTTCCATCCTATCCCCTTTCTTCCCATTTAACAGTCCTTTCTTCCTCTACTCATTATTTTAATTTCTGTGATTTTTTTTTTTGACTTCACTCTTATCAGATTTTCCATTCTCTTGGTCTGTTCTCCTGTTATACCAGCCTGGGAAAGACATTGTGCGTTTTTCTTCTGTGAACCTAAAGTCTGGTCTGTTGAAGACCTTTGGAGAGCAGTGCAGAGCTAAGTGGATTATTGCTGTTGCTGATTCAGAGGCTTCAGCTCCAGCTGAACTTTTCCGCGATTCCTTTAATCACTTTGTTCTCTCTTTATTGCTGCTAGGTAGTTATTGAAACTTCCTCCTCAAATTTTTGACCATCCCCTGCCTCCTACCTCTCCTCTTCTTCTTGGAAGGTGATTTTGCTTTCTATACCACAGAGAAAATAAAATTCTTCTTTCCTTGGTGGAGGGAGAGGATGTCCCCAACTACACACAGGTAAGCTTTAAACACCCACATTTCCACTCATCCTTCCTTCTTCTTCCTTTTACAAGGTGTCCTTATAAGATCTCTTCATCTGGAATTAATCCTATCTCCTTTTACTTTTTCCTTTATCTTCATCTTCTCCCTTCCTGTCGCATTTAAACACAAACAAAACTTTCCTATTAAAAAAAATATAGTCCCTCTCTCCCTAAATCCCTTCAGACCCCAGTCTATCTCTCTTGTTCATAACCTAAACTTTCTGATGATTTTCTATTCTGGCGGTCTCCCTCCTTTCACTCTTCAGCCTCTGGAATCTGACCCCCGCATTGTACTGAACCTCCTTTGCCACGTTTACCAATGACTTCTTTGTCACTCTAGCCAATGGATACTTTTAAATCCTTAGAATACATATTATCAGAAGCTTTTGGTACTATTCTCTATATTCTTTTTCCTGAAATACTGTTTTTCTTGGTTTCAATGATTCTGTACTCTGAGTTCCCTGTTACCTCTGGCTACTTCTTTTTTTCAGTTTTCTTTGGAGGACCTCCCTCTAACTCATAAAGATTGGTAGTGTTTAGTTTTTCTTTACTAGATTCCTTTCTGTTCTGTCCTTACACGCTCCTTGAACAATTTCATGTATCTCATGGATTCAGATGTCATTATATGTTAGCCTTGGATCCATGTCCTTAGCCCAGGAATTATCTTCTGAGCCTTGACCGATATGTGCAATGTCTACCAGACATATACACACTTCCATGTCCTATGGATGTCTCACTCAATGTGCCTGATGGTGGACTCATCACTTTCTCTGTAAAGCCTGCTTATTCTCTTCCTTTTTTTTTTTTTTTTTTTTTTTTTACTTAGTGAGTGATAGGACAATCTATTCAGATATGCAAAGCAGTAAAATGATCCTCAACCTAGTTTTACCTTTTAAACATCCACTTCATAATGAAGCCATCTTCCGCATATCTCTTCAATGTGTATACTCCATTCCCACTATCATTGGCCCAGTTTCAGCCGTTCTCATCATTCACTGTACTCTTGTAATAGCCCTCTAACAGGTCTCCCTGTTACTGCCAGGTCCCACCTTTCTCCTATCCCTCTACCATGCTAAATTAGGGTGACTTCTGTAAAATGGGAGTATAATCTTGTCATTTTTCCTTCTTTATTTTTTTGGCTTCAGTTTTCCTCCTCTTATTTTAAGAATATTTAAAATGAATTTCTAAAATTATGGCAAAATATATATAGCATAAAATTTACCATTCTAACCATTGCCAAGTGCACGATTCAGTGGCATGAAGTTCATTCACATTGTGGTGCAACCATCACCACCATTCTTCTTCAATTTTTTTTTGTCTTGCATAATTGAAAACTTTGTACTCATAAAACATTAATTCCTCATTCCCTTTCTTGGCCCTCCCTCTTCCAGTCCCTGGAAACCACCATTCTAATTTCTTTCTATATAAATTTGGTTACTCTATGTATTTCAAATGAGTGGAATCATACAGTATCTTCCTTTTTTTTTTTTTTTTTTTTTTGAACAGTATCGTCTTTTCTTTTGTGACTGGGCAGTTTCAGTTATAATGTCTTTAAGGTTCATCCATGTTGTAGCAGATGTAGTAATACGTCAGAATTCCTTCCTTTTTAACAGGTTGAATATATATGCAACATTTTGTTTATGCATTTGTCTATCAAGGGACATTTGGGTTGCTTCACCTTTTGACTATAGTGAATAATGCTTCTATAAATAAGAGCATATATATAAGTTTGTGTTCCAGCTTTGACTTCTTTGGGTGTGTACCAGAAGTGGAATTGTTGGATCATATGGTAATTCTATTTTAATTTTTGGAGGAACTGCCATACTGTTTTCCATACCAGCTGCACCATTTTACATTCCCACCAGTGGTGCACAAGAGTTCCAATTTCTCTACATCCTCATTAACACTTGTTAATATTCTGTACATCAATCCCTCCTCAGATTTGCAAATATTTGCTTCCATTCTGTGGATTGTCTTTTTACTGATGATAGTATTCTTTGATGCACAAAGGTTTATTCTGATGCAATTGAATTGTCTATTTTTTCCTTTGTTGTTTTGGTGTCATGTCCAAGAAATCACGGCCAAATCTAATGTCATGAAGCTGTTCTTCTAAGTTTTCTTCTTAGAGTTTTATAGTTTTAGACCTTACAGTTAGGTCTTTGATCAATTTTGAGATAATTTTGTATATGATGTTTTTAGGTAAAGGTCCAACTGCATTTTTTCTGCATATGGACATCTAGTTATCTAGTTTTCCCAGCATCATTTGTTGAAAATAAATTGTTATTGTCACTACAGTTTTGTAGTAAGTTCTGAAATCAGGAAGTGTGAGTATTTCAACTTTGTTCTTGAATTGCAAGATTGTTCTGGCTATTTGTGACCCCTTGAGTTTCCTTGTTAATTCCAGGATGGAATTCTGCCATTTCTTAGCATAACACTTTTCAGTGGAGGTCAGCTACCTTTGATATCCAAACTCCTGCCCTTTTATAGGGTCCTTTAAGATATAACACCTGCGTATCACCTCAGCTTCATCTCTAGACTGGCTCCAACCCCTTTACTCTAACCTACTCATCAACCTCTCAGAAACGTTTTCACTTCTTCCATTAGTTATGCTCTCTTGTCTCAGGCCTTTGTATGTGATCTGCTTTTTGCCCGACATTCTTTGCCTGGCACTTCTTCTTCCTTCAGATTTCAGCTTCCACATCCCTTCCACACCCTCCGTGAGAAATTATTTGGTGCTTTACGTTCTCCCTGAGGACTGCCATTCCTAGCACCGTCTCCACCACATGGAAGTGCTTGCTTGGACACCCCACTAGCCTGTGGCGAAAGGATTACGTCTTGGTCACATTTGTGCTTAGCACACCGCTTTTCGTGTAGTAAACCATCTGCGAGTGTTGGTTTCAAGAATTGTTGGAAGGCTGCTTTACTGGTATTCTTCGAAAGGATAGTTTTCTAGAGTGTGGGAAGAGTCAGCAGAACAGGGGTTAGAAGCACATGAATAATACAAGAAAGGTGTTTACTGGATCTGGGCTTTGCACGCTTTGTTCGCATTATTCCACTTGCCCATGTTAGCAATGAAATTTGAAATCATTTCATACCAGTGGTTCTCTGAGACCTCCGAGGGGTTAAAGCAGCGGTCCCAAGCACCCAGCTCAGTTAGAAGGAGGGTGCGGAAGTGTGAGGATCTATTTCGGTAATCAGGGGATATTGGAGGAGACCCACCCCAGTGCCTCTGGTTGTTCAGCGCACACCTTGGACCCCACCACACGAGCAGAGGCGCCCCGGAAAACTCCCGTCGCGGGAGCGCGCGCCAGCTTCCGGGTTCAGTCCCAGAAGCCACAGATGACCGGAAATGGAACCTGCGCGGGCCTGTTGCTAAGCAACAAATGCTGCCGGGACGCTAGACGGCCCTGGCGCGGAGGGAGCTGAGACCGCCGGAGGTCCCGGGGCGTCGCCTCTATCTTTCTAGGGCTTCTGAGGACAGGAGCGATCCAGAAGCGCCGGTCAGGCCAGCGCGTCCTCGCAGCTATGAGCAGCGAGCAGGTGAGAGGGCTACTTTTCTCCAGGCTCGCCGCCTCCGCGACGCTTCCCAGGCTTTTCAGAAGTGGTGGAATCCCCTCCTGCCCACCGAACTCCCCAGCTGGTACTCTGCGGTGTACAGCTTCTTTGACCCACTTATGGCCTGGGCTACTGAGCGCTTTCCGGGAATGCCCTTGTACGGTCCCTTCCTAGCTGTTCGCCCTTGGTCGTCATAGCAACCAAACCTAGCAGTCCAGCGGCGCGCCAGCAGGGGGAGCCACAGCCCAGAACACCCCATAGTGCTACTGGGGGTGTGCTTGGGTGAGAGGCGGCTCTGCGGGCAGTTGCCGCGGGTTTGGGTTCTAGGGTGGGAATCCAAGCCAATTCCTAGCCGTGTGACTTTGGGCAAATCTCCTCCTTGTTTTTCTAAGCCTTAATTCTCCCACCTCTTATGCAGAGCTGGGGAGGCACCAGAACAACTTTTCTTCTTTCTGAGGTTGTTGCCAAGTTCAAATAAGATACCATCCCATACCGTAACTATACAGTATTACATTGTACGTGAAAGACCTTGGTAAGTGACAAATGGCACTTCCTAAGGTGATATTCCATGGCATGTAATAAAAGATGCACGTTGCAATAGCTGCTTTTCTTTCTTTTTCTTTTCTTTTCTTTTTCTTTCTTTTTCTTTCTTTCCTTCCTTCTTTCTTTCTTTCTTTCTTCTCTTTTGTTTTCTTTCTTCTTTCTCTCCTTTTTTTTTCTTCTAAGAATTCTTTCTTTATTGAACTTAAGAGCAACTATAGTAGAAAAGAAATGCAGAATAATGGCCAATCGTCTTAATATCAGCACAGAATGAGGAGATATTAAACATGGGCATTATTCTGGCCAGGTAGAAAACAACTCTAGTTTTCTACATACTGTTGAATAATAATAATAAAAAGAACCTTATAAACCCTTTGGAAGAAAAACATTTGTTTTTAAGTATGCAAATTTCATTTAGCTTTTAAAAAAATATTAAACTATAATTTTTTGTATTGCTTTATAATGCTTTTTTCGGTATTGTTAGACTTTTTTGTGGAAACAATATTAGTCTCCTAGTCATTGAGTTATAGCTTCCTAACAGAATAATGTGATGATCCCAATTCATTAATTAATCAAATAAATAATCAATACCTGAAATGCTCAAGAAAAATTGGTTTGAGCCTTTTTTTAAAAAAAACATAAGTATAACTTAAGAACTAAGAAATGGACACTTTGATGCATATGCCAAAGTATAAGTAGTATTGATATTAATAGTAAATGAGCAAGCAAAAAACAAAAAGAATTCAGATTCAAGTAACCGAAAACACTGAGCAATTGTTTAATAGATCTTACTAGTAATTTTTTCTATGTGATAGTAACATAATCAGATTTTTAAAATAATATTTGTTATCATCATTATTATATATTGAGCAGCGTCTTTGTTTCATGCCCAGATTAGTCTTTGGCCAGATCTTGAACCATAGCCTACATTGTTAGAGTTTAAAATATACTTCTATCACATTTTCAATGGTATTTCTGAATAGCTGTTTTTCACAATTCCCCTAACTTACCCATCTACTACTAAAAGTATCCACTAAAAACCCACCAGCCGTTAAGTTCTAAATTTTGCTTCATCTTTATAAAAGTGATGTTGGAAAATGACACCGTAGTCTCTCACTCCCCCTCCAGAAAGGTTGTGATTTATTGGAGAAGCAATAGGATCTTAAAAGAATGGAGATGATACTATTTCTGATGTGTATTGGTTGTTTTGTAAATACAAAGAGTTCAGTTGTAAATAAACTATTGTGGCTGAAAAAAAAAAAGAATGGACATGATTTCCATTTTACACTTACTATTTTTGAACAGCAGAGGGCCCTCTATCACTGTTTTGGTTGATTCATAATTTTAAAAACTAATCTCGAGATTTTCATTTATGCTCATTTAGAGTGTAGTTTTCCTTTGGAAGGATGAAAGTTTTTATATTTTAACCTAAGACAAACAGAATGGATTAAACTTTTGGAAATCCCATTTTTTATGTGACATTTACTTGTATATTCATTCAGTTTGAGAAAGCGAGCAGGTGGTAAAATCATATTTGCTGAAGGAGATTTTAACATATTCATCTCATTCGTGGAAGGTTGAGAGTGACATCAAATTTTTCAGGAGTAGCAGTCTGGGCTTTTCTCTTAAATTAGATATTTAGAAGAAATATAAATCCTTTTGCATTGCTCATTTCATTTTTGAAACTAGTTAAAACTTCAAGGCATTTTTAGTGTAGGCTGAAGAACTTTCAGAGGTTTAAAGGCGCAAATATCTAAAGACCAGGAAGCTCCCCATGGAGATAGTACAGACTGTGGCAGAGAAGAGGAAAAAGCCATGCATCTTTTTCTACCCCAGCACTTTTTCTAGTTATGTAATCAAGTAGTTTGTGTTTATATGATGTGATGCTCATTCTGTTTTCATCATATTTTTAAAATGTCATTGCTTAAAAAGGGGAAAGAGTGAAAAAAGTTGGATATGAGGCCAACAGCATGGTGATAACTTTAACAACCATAACTCAAACGTGTGACAACTCACAACTATATTTAAATCAGTACTACTAAATTTTGAGAGGTTATTGTTGATTTAACCAGACACATATGTAGATTCTAGTCATTTGATCAGGATGGTTAATACTAGGCTATACTAGGTTTATGACATCTCTTCCAGGAATCAAGTAGGTGAAAATCAGGAAAGTGAAAACAAAATGCAAAGCCAGACTATTTAAGACAGACCTAGACTCTTTAGCAATTTTAATTTTAGAATGTAGAATTATATTAGGATCCCAACAGAAAACAGATGGCATACTCAAAAGGATTTCACTGAAGAACATTTATAAAAAGACCATTTGTAGAGGTGTTGGTAAGGTTAAAGGAACCATGAGGGATGAAGAGACACTCAAGGATTAACAGTAGTAGGACAGTAGGATGCCATTTCCATGGCTAGGCCTGTCGGGTCATTGAAACAGAATATTATTCCCAGACCCCGCTAAATGCTAGACGCTTGGAATGGTAGCTTCCTGACAGGAGCTGAGGTCTGGAAGAATTTAGCCACTATCAGAACTACAGGGAACAGGGAAGACTAGGAAACAAATATCCTAAACTCTCTGTCCCCCTGCTCTTTAGTCTCCTCCTGGTGCCTTTCTTTGGTTAATCTCTATCAGAAGCCAGAAGCCGAGGGCCCAGATGATGTCCATCATATAATTCAACCTCCTGGGCACAGAGCAGGAAGAAGAGGGTAAAGACTTGATCTAAGGCAGAGCACAACCATGACAGACATTATTATAAATGCATGCAGTCTTCATAGACGGTTCCCTGTCCCTGCCCATAAATCAGTTGGATAAACAGTTTTTGAGATCCTGTCATGAATTTATCATTTAAAATCTTTATATCTAAGAATAAGTCTAAAAAAGAAATAACACCTTTATGAAGAATACTACAAAATGTTTCTGAAGGATATGCTCCCAGAATCTGAAGAAGTAAAGAAATATATTGTGTTCTCAAGAGAGAAGAGTCAGTATTCAATGTGTTTCTATCATTGTCCTAAAAAGTTTCATGCAGTATGGATCCCAAATTTCACGTTAGAAAAAAATGTTAAGATTGTTTATGATAATTTTTAAGAATGGTAAAGTGGAGGGAATTGCTCTACAGATTCCAAGACTTATCAGGAATCATAGTAAGTTAGGCAATATAATAAATTTTTTTTACAGATAACAAATAATCCAATGGAATTAAAGAGACAAAAAATGCATATATATGTATATATGTTATATATACACACACATATATGTGTGTATGTATGAGATACATGCCTAAGAATTGTGTGTGTTTATACTAAAATACATGCCCAAGGACTTTCACTGAGACATCTTTCGTAGTAGAGAAACATTGGTAATAAGTTAAACGTTCATTCACTAGAGAGTGGAATAGATACATTGTACCATGCTTACAGAGTACTATACAGCTGTGAAAATCATTGAGAAAGGTATATTAATGGGGATAAATTTCAAAAACATAATATTAAAAAATAGGTTGCAAAAGGATACAGACGCTGTGATGGCATTTCTATAAAATGTAAAATCATGCAGTAACAATATATATCTTAGGTTATTTGGTAATCATATGTAGTAATGAGTGTAGTAAAAATTTGTATAGGAATGATAAACACAAAATTCCAGAATGGCAGAGTTGGATTGAAGATATACAAGTGTTCATGATGCTATTTTCTGTATGTTTGAAATATTTCCTAATTTTAAAGAGAACGAGACATGAGTAAATATAGAGTGCACAGACAATCTTGGTCAAGGAAACAGATGAATTAATTGTGTAACAATTGGAGTGAAAAGCACCATTGGAGAAGGTTTTTCTTTTCTTTTTGAAAATAAACATTCTTCGAGCTTCCAGACAGCTGAACAGAAAACCTGAGCCAGAGTCCTGGCAGCCAAACCCAAGCTCTACTACTTTCATGGCAGGCGCAGGATGGAGTCAGTCTGCTGGCGGCTGGTTGCAGCTGCAATGGAGTTTGAAGAAGAGGTTTTTTGAAATGAGAGAATAATACGAAAAGTTGCAGAAGGATGATGCTTACTTTTTGGCCAAGTGCCTTTGGTTGAAACTGATGGAATGATGCTGATACTCATTAGAGCCATCCTCACCTCAGCTACCTTGCTGCTAAGTACAGTGTCTATGGGAAGGACCTGAAGGGGAGAGTGAGGATCAACATGTGTGCTGATGGCACCCTGGACCTGATGATGATGATGGCGCTGGCCCCTGAGGAAAAAGAGGAGAACCTTGCTTCAGTCATGATGAAAGCTGACACCTGGTACTTGCCCATCTTTGGAAAGATTTTGGAAGACCATGGAGCGGGTTTTCTCATTGGCAACAAATTCAGCTGGGCAGACATACAACTGTTAGAAGCTGTTTTAATGGTAGAAGAACTCAAGCTTCTGTTCATTCTGACTTCCCTCTGCTGGAGGCATTTAAAACAGGAATCAGCAACATCCCCACAATTAAGTAGTTCCTGCAACCTGGGAGTCAGAGGAAGCTGTTCCTGACATCCGATATGTTGATCTAGTTAGAAACATTCTACAGTTCTAGTGGCAGCAGGTCACATGATGGCAAGAATTAATGATCCAATCACAGTATCAGCACATGCTGTCTGTAGTGGATAACAGAAGCAAACTGTAGATTGTAGGAGGAAAGTGTCAGAAAAGAACCAAACTGGCCAGGCACGGTGGCTCACGCCTGTAATCCCAACACTTTGGGAGGCCGAGGCAGGTGGATCATGAGGTCAAGAGATCGAGAACATCCTGGCCAACATGGTGAAAGCCCGTCTCTACTAAAAATACAAAAATTAGCTGGGTGTGGTGGTTCATGTCTGTAGTACCAGCTAATCAGGGGGCTGAGGCAGGAGAATTGCTTGAACCGGGGAGGCAGAGGTTGCAGTGAGCAGAGATTGAACTCCAGCCTGGCAACAGAGTGAGACTCCATCTCAAAAAAACAAAAAAACATTTTTTTCAATAATGTTTTATGGTTTCATTATGTAGGTCTTACACTTCTTTTGTTAAATTTTTTCTTAAGTCTTTATTCCATTTCATGCAATTGTAAATGGAATTGTCTCTTAATTTCAATTTTGTATTAAATATAATTGTATTAATACAATTGATTTTTAAAATACTTATGATTACTGTTTTATTATAAGGGATACAAATCAGGAAAAAACACATGAAGAGACACGTGGGGAGAGGCCTGGGAGGGTCCTGGATACGGAGCTTCCATGCCGTCTCCCTGTGGAATTGGGATGCATCACCCTCCTGGCACATCCTAAATACATTTGACTTTTGTGTACTGATCTTGTATCCTGTAACCTAGCTGGATACAAGAACTTATTCACTAGCTTTAATATTTTTTGATGAATTACTTAAGATTTTCTATATATAAGATCATGCCATTTGTACAGTATGTTTTAGAATATTTTGGATGATGTGTGCTTATAATAAACACTGTAAAATTTGGTTGAGTAAATCAATTTTATCATTAATGGAGTAAACAGTTTTGTTTTTTCGTGTTTTTCATGCAGGATAAATCGGCCAGCAAAGAAAAATCCAAGACACCAATAAGATTTCTACCACAGCTATCTATGGTAATTTACCAATATACCATCATACTTTATTCCTTTATGATAATTTTTGTTTACTACTTTTCAAGCTTGAAAGTAAGTTACTGAATTTCTGATTTTAAATTTTATACAATTTTAAATTCCATTTGATTCTTTTCTGATGGAGTAATTCTATGAGGTGTACAGCTCAGGAAAAACAATATCAATAAAATAACAATGGGCTTTAATTTTCAGGTATGTACAGGATAGTTGGATACGGGTTAGATTTTACAGAATGAGATTTGCTATCTAGTTATGTTGAATTTAATGCTGTTGAGTTAAACTATTATAACTTCTACAGAAGTTGAGTTAGAATGAAGTTGCAATTCAAATATTATTTGTTTTGAAACATATTTTAAAAGATCAGCATGAACTGTGAATGGAATTTGAATTACTTTATGCAGAGATAATTCCTAATATTTTGAAATAAAAAAAATTGAATGAAAATTTAAGTGTATGATCTTGGACATTTCAAAATACATGTTTTAATTATGTACCTTTTTGTATTGATGATACCAAGATTACCAAAAGTTCTACAAAATAGAATCAAAGCGTTTTTTTAGTTCTGCAAATACTTATCTTGTTTCTAGTTTATAAGTAAAACTGAAATGAAATAGACATTTTATTTTCTCTTTTAAAAAATTTGACAAATTTTAATATTGAAAAAGTGTTATTAGGTTTTCTTTGGCATGTTAAATTTAAATTTACTTGGTGAATAAATGTTCAGCGCTGAGTTAACTAATCTTTTCTAGTCAGCAAGGCATATAATCATCTAAAATGCTTTTGTTGACTGATTTAAAACCATATATTGTGCTCATGTTTGACGGGTTCTTATAATTTTCCTTCCTTATCCTGTGAGTTTTAGGTCTTTTAAAAGAAATTAGATTTTTAAGAGATATTTAAAAAACATTCACTCATTAAAACATTTTTATTTAAATATTAAAGTTTGTCCCTGGGTATAAGTTCTCCAGCAGTAATTTAGATGTAGAGTGAGTTTCATTACGAGCCTTCAGGCTTCTAGAAGTGAACCCTGTAGTTGAAACAGACACTGGTGGCTCTCGGTCCCTGTGAGCTGGTGACCTGATTCTCACCCTTTTGGCACACCTCATTCATATCCCTCCCACAAATCTTTTTTCTTTTTAAATTTTTTTATTGTACTTTAGGGTACATGTGCAGATCATGCAGGATTGTTGCATAGGTAAACACATAGCAATGTGGTTTGCTGCCTCCATCCACCATCACCTACATCTGGCATTTCTTCCCATGTTATACTTCCACGACCTCTCCAGCCCTCTGCTGTCCCTCCCTTGGCTCCCCCACCAGACCCAAGTGTGTGATGCTCCCCTCCCTGTGTCCATATGTTCTCATTGTTCAACACCCGCCTATGACTAAGAACATGCGGTGTTTGATTTTCTGTTTTGTGTCAGTTTGCTGAGAATTATTGTCTCCAGATTCATCCATGTCCCTACAAAGGACAAGAACTCATCAATTTTTATGGCTGCATAGTATTCCACGGTGTATATATGCCACATTTTCCTTGACCAGTCTATCATCGATGGGCATTTGGGTTGGTTCCAGGTCTTTGCTATTGTAAACAATGCCGCTATGAACATACCTGTGCATGTGTCTTTATAATAGAATGATTTATAATCCTTTGGGTATATACTCAGTAATGGGATTGCTGGGTCAAATGGAATTTCTATTTCTAGGTCCTTGAGGAGGAGCCACACTGTCTTCCACAATGGTAGAACTAGTTTACACTCCCACCAACAGTGTAAAAGTGTTCCTGTTTCTCCACATCCTCTCCATCATCTGTTGTCTCCAGATTTTTTAATGATCGCCGTTCTAACTGGCGTGAGGTGGTATCTCAATGTGATTTTGATTTGCATTTCTCTAATAATCAGTGATGATAAGCATTTTTTCATATGTTTGTTGGCCTCATATAGGTCCACTTTTGAAAAGTGTCTGTTCATATCCTTTACTCACTTTTGGATGGGTTTGTTTTTTTTCTTGTAAATCTGTTTTAGTTCTTTGTAGATTCTGGATATTAGCCCTTTGTCAGATGGGTAGATTGCCAAAATTTTTTCCCATTCTGTTGGTTTCCAGTTCACTCTAATGATTGTTTCTTTTACCATACAGAAGCTCTGGAGTTTAATTAGGTCCCATTTGTCAACTTTGGCTTTTGTTGCCAATGTTTTTGGTGTTTTAGTCATGAAGTCCTTGCTTATACCTATGTCCTGAAAGGTTTTGTCCAGGTTTTCTTCTAGGGTTTTTATGATGTTACGTCTTATGTTTAAGTCTTTAATCCATCTGGCGTTAATTTTAGTGTAAAGTGTCAGGAAGGCATCCAGTTTCTGCTTTCTGCACATGGCTAGCCAGTTTTCCCAACACAATTTATTAAACAGGGAATCCTTTCCCCATTGCTTGTTTTTGTCTGGTTTATCAAAGATCAGATGGTTGTAGATGTGTGGCATTGCCTCCAAGGCCTCTGTTCTGTTCCATTGGTCTGTACCTCTGTTTTGGTACCAGCACCATGCTGTTTTGATTACTGTAGCCTTGTAGTATAGTTTGAAGTCAGGTAGCCTGATGCCTCCTGCTTTGTTCTTTTTGCTTAGGATTGTATTGGCTATGTGGGCTCTCTTTTGGTTCCATATGAAGTTTAAGGTGGGTTTTTCCAGTTCTGTGAAGAAGGTCATTGGTAGCTTGATGGGGATAGCGTTGAATCTGTAAATTACTTTGGGCAGTATGGCCATTTTCACGATATTGATTCTTCCTAACCATGAGCATGGAATGTTTCCATCTGTTTGCGTCCTCTCTTATTTCATTGAGCAGCGGTTTGTCGTTTCCTTGAAGAAGTCCTTTACATCCTTTGTTACTTGTATTCCTAGGTATTTTATTCTCTTTGTAGCAATTGTGAATGGGAGTACACTCATGATTTGGCTCTCTGTTAGTCTGTTATTGGTGTATAGAAATTCCTGTGATTTCTGCACATTGATTTTGTATCCTGAGACTTTGCTCAAGTTGCTTATCAGTTTCAGGAGATTTTGGGCTGAGATGATAGGGTCTTCTAAATATACAATCATGTCATCTGCAAATAGAGACAATTTGACTTCCTCTTTTCCTAATTGAATATCCTTTATTGTTTTCTTCTTGCCTAATTGCTCTGGCTAGAACTTCCATTACTGTATTGAACAGGAGTGGTGAGAGAGGGCATCCTTGTCTAGTGCCAGATTTCAAAGGTAATGCTTCCAGTTTTTGCCCATTCAGTATGATATTGGCTGTAGGTTTGTTGTAAATAGCTTTTATTGTTTTGAGATATGTTCCTTTGATACCTAGTTTATTGAGAGTTTTTAGCATAAAGGGCTGTTGAATTTTGTCGAAGGCCTTCTCTGCACCTATTTAGATAATCATGTGGTTTTTTCTTTGGTTCTGTTTATGTGGTGGATTACGTTTATAGACTTGTGTATGTTGAACCAGCCTTGCATCCCTGGAATAAAGCCTGCTTGATCATGATGGGTAATCCTTTTGATGTGCCGTTGCAATCAGTTTGCCAGTATTTTATTGAAGATTTTTGCATCTATGTTCATCATGGATATTGGCCTGAAGTTTTCTTTTCTTGTTGAGTCTCTGCCAGGGTTTGGTATCAGGATGATGTTGGTCTCAAAAATTCATTTGGGAAGGATTCCCTCTTTTTGGATTGTTTGGAATGGTTTCAGAAGGAATGGTACTAGCTCCTCTTTGTACGTCTGGTAGAATTCAGCTGTGAACCCGTCTGGACCTGGACTTATTTTGGTTGGTAGGCTATTCATTGCTGCCTCAGCTTCAGCCCTTGTTATTGGTCTATTCAAGGTTTCTGGTTTAGGCTTAGGAGAGTGCAAGTGTCCAGGAATTTATCCATTTCTTCTGGGTTTAATGATTTATGTGCATAAAGTTGTTTGTAGTAATCTCTTATCATAGTTTGTATTTCTATGGAATCAGTGGTGATATCCCCTTTATTGTTTTTTATTGCATCTATTTGATTCTTCTCCCTTTTCTTTTGTATTAATCTGGCTAGTGGTCTGTCTGTTTTATTGATCTTTTCAAAAAACTAGCTCCTGGATTTATTGATTTTTTGAAGCGTTTTTTGTGTCTCTATCTCCTTCAGTTCTGCTCTGATCTTAGTTATTTCTTGTCTTCTACTAGCTTTTGAGTTTTTTTTTTTTATCTTGCTTCTCTAGCTCTTTCAATTTTGATGATAGGGCATCAATTTTAGATCTTTCCTCACTTCTCATGTGGGCATTTATTGCTATAAATTTTCCTCTAGACACTGCTTTAAATGTGTTTCAGAGATTCTGGTACATTGTGTCTTCGTTCTTGTTGGTTTTAAAGAACATCTTTATTTCTGCCTTCATTTCATTGTTTATCCGGTCAACATTCAAGAGCCAGTTGTTCAGTTTCCATGAAGCTGTGTGGTTCTGAGTTAGTTTCAGAATTCTGAGTTCTAGTTTGATGCCCTGTGGTCTGAGAGACTGTTTGTTGTGATTTCCGTTCTTTTGCATTTGCTGAGGAGTAATTTACTTCCAATTATGTGGTCAGTTTTAGAGTAGGTGTGATGTGGTCCTGAGAAGAATGTATATTCTGTGGATTTAGGGTGGAGATTTCTGTAGATGGCTGTTAGGTCCACTTGGTCCAGATCTGAGTTCAAGTCCTGGATATCCTTGTTAATTTTCTGTCTCATTGATCTGTCTAATATTGACAGTGGAGTGTTAAAGTCTCCCACTATTATTGTGTGGGAGTCTAAGTCTCTTTGTAGGTCCTTAAGAACTTGCTTTATGTACCTGGGTGCTCCTGTATTGGGTGCATATATATTTAGGATCATTAGCTCTTCTTCATGCATTGATCCATTTACTATACTGTAATGCCCTTCTTTGTCTCTTTTGATCTTTCTTGGTTTAAAGTCTATTTTAACAGAGACTAGGATTGCAACTCCTGCTTTTTTTTGCTCT